TGGCTGTGGATGTACATGGTGATTTAACAAGCTGCATGTTTGATTGGGAGGTAAGACTGAAATATAGATGGTCAAATATGAAGTATGAGCGCTGATGTAACTGTGATTCGACCCTGCGGACGGTGAGTGATCATCCTGGGACTTTGTGTCACAGTCCTGCCCCATGTGTTAAGAGTTGATGGCCCGACTGCCGGGCCTAGAGAGGAACCCCACTGACATCTGGGGAAAAAGGGAACTCAAGTGGCATCTGAACTCTCTGGTAAGAGACAAATTCTTTGTTAGACTTTGGGTAAGAATTTGTCTGCTTGACCACTGAGTGAGCCTCCTGCCACTACACCACTAAATCAAAACTGTATGAGCGTGCTCTGTGCACACAGCGGGTGTCTTTCAGCCATCGATAAACTTCGGGCGAATGTGATTATTATGCCCAGTAAAGTTTCCTTTTACAGCATCGATGTTGTACCTGAATTAAAACATATAGGGCTCTATTTTGACAGTCCATGCGCAAAACGGAAAACGCATTCAGGGCGTGTCATAATCCATATTTTCTCATTTAAGGACAGGAAAATCTGCTTTGCGCCGTGGCGCATGGTCTAAAAAGGTTGAGTTTATTTTCTTAATGAGTTATAGGTGTGTTTTGAGAATAAACCAATCCGAGTCTCATCTCCCATTCCCTTTAAGAGCCAGCTGCGTCGTGTTAGAAGCGCATTTGCTATTTACATGACGTAAAGTAAGTTCACTTTTGCTCTCATGGATAGGAAAACCTTTACGCACAGACATCAATTAGCCTATAAATAATTAAATTTAGTTTGTTAAGCGCAAAGATTTGTTTCAAAACTATTTCTAAATTCAGTTCTAATTTACAGCAAACGAATAAATGAACAATAATAACCAAGTGTGGTCAAAATACTGAGTTATTTCCAAATACACCTGCTGTGCCCCATATGGTCTAAAACCTGATAGGTGGACAAATCTAAGCTTGTTTTTAATAAAACACATATAAATATGGATATAATGAATAATACTGCTAATAATAACATTATACAAAAGCAAATTGAATGAACTGAAAAAGCCTCCCGAGATGAAGAAGGATTCAAGGCAGTGGTTTTTAAATTCATGTAGGCTAGAAAATAATATGTTTTGTAATATTTTAATTCTTTATATTTATATCCTACATCTATCCTCATTATTTTAATTCTTTTTCATATGTAAAGATATTTGCGTATTGCTCTACATCTTGTGTTAAGCAGTGTGTAAGCCAGGTGCACTCTGTGCCGGACTTTACACCGGGTTTGTTCTGGTCTAAAGAAAAGACTATTACAGTTTCTCAAAATAGCAACGCGTCAAAACACACCTGCTCTTTTAGAGCAGAATGCCTATGGGCGCACATATGAGCGCAAATGCATTTGCTGTTTAAAGAGCGTGGCGCAACACCTCAAAACGACTCTAGCGCCAAGCTGAAACTAGCAAACAAGTATTGCACCGCGCCTTGCACCACAGTGCGCCGGGTGTATGATAGGGCCCAATCAGTTAAATAGCCTTAAGCATTCATTTAGTTGTTTAAGCATAAAAGAAGATCAGAAGGCTTTAAACACGAGCAAAAGAGTGCTGGAATTCTATTGAAGATGTGGTAAATGTCCATTTTGAAGACAGGGTGCAGAACATGTACAGTAATAGCGCTTCTTGTCTGGTCTGAGACTCGCTTTATATGGTTTATCAATCACAGTGAAGATTCTTCTTTTAACCTCTTAAGGCCCGAGCTGTTTTTTACATGCATTATTAATTTCTCTTTGCTATTTGGGTTTATTGGAACCTAATTAGAATATAAATCATCTTTTGATTTGATGTACTTTCAGAGAAAGATGATGTCCATATATGTGGACTCGTGGTCTGAATTTACATCAAACACTTTTTCCCGAATTTTTTAATGCAAATTTAACTTAGAAATATTTTGTTGAACTTGCTTTGACTATCAGAGAGTAAAAACAACTTTTTTTTCCCATTTTGTACAGTTTAAAATAGTGTTTGGGACATTTCATATGCTGCAGAACTTATGCAGGATGACACTGCATGTCTGTAACTAAATATAAAACATTTAAAGTATTTTAAATATCCGAGCTAAAATGTGCTGTCCACATATGTGGACACTCGGGACCAAGGAGGTTAAAGAAATCAGATCTTAAACGTGGCCATTTTATACAGGCATGACTCCAGAAGCACTTGGGCTGCTGCAAAATTGAAAGTCCGTGTGCACATTGGCATGAGTCGACATGCAAAAACCCACTTAATTTTGATACGTTATTTCAGAAAACATACAATATTTGTTCTACTAGTCTCGAAAATGCTTCTTGAATTAAGAATTGTTCGATTAATGGACTAAAAACAAGACACAAACACTAAGTAAGCATGTTTTATAATGTACGTCTCTTCCTCCACAGTAATGTCTGGAGGTCTGCTGTCCGCGGCGGCTCTGCTGTGTCTGCTGTCCGTCTGCTCGGCCTGCTACATCTCAAACTGCCCCATCGGAGGAAAACGCTCTGTTCAGGACTGGCCCATTCGACAGGTGTGTGTGTGTGTGTGTGTGTGTGTTTAGTTTATTAAACCCACTTGTTGAATTCTGGAAACACTATTAAATCCTTCGGTTCAAAGGGGCAGTGGATCTAGTCACCAGGTCACCCCCTGTGCACGGCCCTGCTCACCAATATGCCACTATTACAGCCTGAAGGGGTCAGTTTCAGAGAGCTGGAGAACATTATCTGTGTGCTAATCTCAGCTCAAACACACACACACACACACACACACACACACACTACAGGCATCCGAGATGCATTTACAGCTTGTAGGAACGGTCATAATAGGTTTCCCTTACCATCTGCAGTGTATGCCGTGTGGCCCCGGGGACCGCGGACGCTGTTTCGGCCCCAGTATCTGCTGTGGTGAAGGCATCGGCTGCTTGGTCGGCTCTCCAGAAACCCTGCGCTGCCTGGAGGAGGATTTTCTCCCTTCTCCGTGTGAGATGTCTGGAAAGGCCTGCGGTTATGAGGGACGCTGCGCTGCTCCTGGAGTCTGCTGCGACTCGGGTTAGTTTCAGCTCAAATTCAATTGACTCCAGAACAAACCACTGTTATACAATGACTTGCCTAATTACCCTAACTTTACCCTAATTACCCTAGTGAAGCCTTTACATGTCACTTTAAGCTGAACACTAGTGTCTTGAAGAATATCTAGTCTAATATTATGTGCTGTCATCATGGAGAAGAGGAAACACATCAGCTATTAGAGATGAGTTATTAAAATTAAAACAGAAATTGGGGAAAAACATAAAAGAATTAAGATTTAATTACTGAAATAACATGTAATATTCATGTTTAGGTATTGTCTCTGCAATAGTTTCCAGTGGAGCTGATTGTGTGTGTGTGTGTGTGTGTGTCTCAGAGGGCTGCAGTGTGGACCAGTCGTGTGTGGACGGAGATGCTGACGCTGCAGCTGTCAATCAACCGGCCAACAGCCCAGATCTGCTGCTGAAGCTCCTGCACCTGTCAAGCCACGCACACCCCTCTAGAATCCACCAATGAAACGCCAGAGCTGTGACATCATCTCAGGAGGAGCCGCCCACCAACCACACGACTCGCCACCCACTTTTGTAAACCAACTTTGTAAAGGCGCTAGATATTTGTAAGACTAGATGCTGGTAGTACTGTACTGATGATTAGCTTGACTGTACATTAGTGCAGATATTAAACTAAATTAAAGACCATTTCTGTGTGTGTGTGCTTTTCATCATGCCAATACATTTTACATGCAGATTTAACCACTTTTCATTCAACAAAGCCTCAAGCAGATTTTGCACATCTGTAATTATTGTCTGTGCACATACCTGGAATTTCTGCACCGATTGAAGGGTTGCCAGATCTGCAAAACAAAACTAGACCAGTCCGTCACTCAAAACTTTAATAACCAATCAAAACCAGCCTGAAACTTGAGGACCAATAAGAAAACTCACAACTTTAATGATCAATCAAAACCAACAACCAATCAGAAACATTGAAAACAGAAATGACCAATCAAAATCGGCCTCAAATTCACCTACCAATCAAAACACTCCCCAAAATAACTGACCAATCAAAAACTACCTTAAACTCAACCACCAATCAGAAACACTCATTAAACAATCAGAAACAAGTCTGAAACTTGACGACCAGTCAGAAACACTTTAAAAAAAATTAACGACCAATCAAAACCAGCCTGAAATTTGACGACCAATCAGAAACACTCAAAACTTTAATGACTATTTAAAACAAGCCTGAAATTCGACGACCAATCAGAGACACTTAGAAAACAATAAGAAACTAGTCTGAAACTTGACGACCAGTCAGAAACACTCGAAACTTTAACGACCAATCAAAACAGCCTAAAATTTGACGACCAATCAGAAACACTCAAAACTTTAATGACAATTTAAAACAAGACTGAAACTCAACGACCAATCAGAAACACTAATAAAACAATCAGAAGCGAGCCTGAAACTTGACGACAATCAGAAACACTCGAAACTTTAACTACTAATCAAAACAATCCTAAAGATTGACGACCAATCAGAAACATTCAAAAAAGTAACGACCAATCAAAACCAGCCTAAAACCAGACGACCAATCAGAAACACTCGAAACTTTAATGACCAACCAAAACCAGCCTGAAACTTGACGACCAATCAGAAACACTCCAAACTTTAATGACCACTGCCAGAGAAGGGTCTGGCCGCAGACCAGGTGCAGATGCAAGCTGAGCTGCATGCAATGTTTCTAATGCCACCACCAAACCCCGCCCCTCACAGTGACATCAGCAGCTCCACTGAGTGCATTGTGCATATGCAAGTCTGCAGTCAAGGCAAGGCCAGTTTATTTCTATAGCACATTTCAAACACGATGGTCACTGAAAGCACTTCACATACACAAATATAAAAGAAAACAAATGAATAAAGAATAAAACAGGTTAAATTTTGTTAAAACTGGTTTACTATTAAAAACATCAACCAGAAACACTCAATCATTCAGAGACAGTGTTTCCTTACAGCTCTGCATAATCTCCCATCCACTGTGTTTCAATACATCACAGGTTCTACATGGGAACACAAAACGGGCCACTTCCCACACACCAGTTCCGCACACAGCAGTCGTGTGTGTTTCAGCTGTTTCTCCGCGAGCTGATGGACTCTATATGCCGTCTCAGTGTTTCCTCCCAGTCGTCTGAGCACTTCAGATCTGCGCAGCGCATCTCCAGCTGATCCAGAACCTGCAGAGACTCGGGGAGCTCCAGGGTCAGACCTGCTCTCTGAACCGCCTGCTGGAACTTATGCGGAGATGCAGTCGCTATACAGCATCTGAACACACACACACAAACACACACACACACACACACACTTAATCTAAATCTCAAACTATTGCAACTGTAGAATCACCACAACAAATCAGTTACTATAGTTGTAGTGTTACCATAGCAACTGTAGAATCGCCACAACAGATCAATTACTGTAGTTGTTGTGTTACCATAGCAACTGTAGAATCATCACGACAAATTAATTACTATAGTTTTTGTGTTACCAGAGCAACTGTACAATCGCCACAACAGATCAATTACTATAGTGGTTGTGTTACCATCGCAACAGTTGAATCACCACAACAGATCAATACTATAGTGGTTGCGTTACCGTAGCAACTGTAGAATTGCCACAACAGATTAATTACTATAGTTGTTGCGTTACCATAGCAACTGTAGAATCATCACAACAGATCAATTATTATAGTTTTTGCGTTACCATAGCAACTGTAGAAACACCACAATTTTTGTGTGCAGAATCACAAAAACAACTTATGTGTTGGTAATTGTGTGTGTGTGTGTGTGTGAGACCTGTTTTCTCCAGGCCTGACAGGACTCTGATAGTGTCTCCACACAGCGACAGCAGTGTGAGGACAGATGAGATAGTGATTGTCCTGCCAGCATCTCCTCATGGCCTCTAGTATCCCATCATCAGACACAGATCCAGACGACAACACTTCACTCAACTACAACAGCAGAGAGATGTATTGTCATGCACTGGGAGAAGCCACTGTGTTCTTTTTTCTTTTCTAATAAATGAGTTGCGCCTCAGAAGACGAACACTCAATGTGAGCATGCATTTTCAATATTTATGCACATCTTGGCATCTCAATCAAACAAGTTTAATGGGATAATCCAAAATGTGCAGAGAATAGTTGGATGTAAACATATAGACTGGCGTATTGTTGACCTGCTGATGGAGTGACGCAGGCAGGCTGAGTTTGTGTGTTTTCTGAAACTCCTCCATCAGGCTCTTCACCATCAGTCCATCTCCTCCTGACAGCAGCCAGAACACACGCTCCATGTTGTACGGGTCCTGAGAACACACACAGTTTAATACACACACACACACACACACACACACAGGAGAAGAACATAAGTAAACCTGAAGCGGCACCTGGATGTCGATGGCAGGAGCGAGTGTTTGAGTGACGGAGCTGGACATGGAGAAATCTCCACTCTGGACGGTGCGGTGGACGATATCGTTAGCATTCACCATGGCAACGAGCCGCAGAGGAACGCCCATCCGCTTCACAATAATCCCAGCTGAACAACAATCATGCAGACTAATGAGTGTAATAAAAGGTATAATAACAGGTCAACCCATCTACTCACTAGTCAACTAGTCAACTCATCTACTCACTAGTCAACATTTCTACTCACTAGTCAACATATCTACTCACTAGTGAACAGGTCAACTCATCTACTCACTAGTCAACTCATCTACTCACTAGTCAACTCATCTACTCACTAGTCAACATATCTACTCACTAGTCAAAAGGTCAACTCATCTACTCACTAGTCAACTCATCAACTCACTAGTCAACATATCTACTCACTAGTCAACATATCTACTCACTAGTCAACTCATCTACTCACTAGTCAACAGGTCAACTCATCTACTCACTAGTCAACAGGTCAACTCATCTACTCACTAGTCAACTCATCTACTCACTAGTCAACTCATCAACTCACTAGTCAACATATCTACTCACTGGTCAACATATCTACTCACTAGTCAACTCATCTACTCACTAGTCAACAGGTCAACTCATCTACTCACTAGTCAACTCATCTACTCACTAGTCAACTCATCAACTCACTAGTCAACATATCTACTCACTAGTCAACTCATCTACTCACTAGTCAACAGGTCAACTCATCTACTCACTAGTCAACTCATCAACTCACTAGTCAACATATCTACTCACTAGTCAACATATCTACTCACTAGTCAACTCATTTACTCACTAGTCAACTCATCTACTCACTAGTCAACAGGTCAACTCATCTACTCACTAGTAAACAGGTCAACTCATCTACTCACTAGTCAACTCATCAACTCACTAGTCAACATATCTACTCACTAGTCAACTCATCTACTCACTAGTCAACTCATCTACTCACTAGTCAACTCATGTACTCACTAGTCAACATATCTACTCACTAGTCAAAAGGTCAACTCATCTACTCACTAGTCAACTCATCAACTCACTAGTCAACATATCTACTCACTAGTCAACATATCTACTCACTAGTCAACTCATCTACTCACTAGTCAACAGGTCAACTCATCTACTCACTAGTCAACTCATCTACTCACTAGTCAACTCATCAACTCACTAGTCAACATATCTACTCACTAGTCAACTCATCTACTCACTAGTCAACTCATCTACTCACTAGTCAACATATCTACTCACTAGTGAACAGGTCAACTCATCTACTCACTAGTCAACTCATCTACTCACTAGTCAACTCATCTACTCACTAGTCAACATATCTACTCACTAGTCAAAAGGTCAACTCATCTACTCACTAGTCAACTCATCAACTCACTAGTCAACATATCTACTCACTAGTCAACATATCTACTCACTAGTCAACTCATCTACTCACTAGTCAACTCATCTACTCATCTACTCACTAGTCAACTCATCTACTCACTAGTCAACTCATCAACTCACTAGTCAACATATCTACTCACTAGTCAACTCATCTACTCACTAGTCAACTCATCTACTCACTAGTCAACATATCTACTCACTAGTGAACAGGTCAACTCATCTACTCACTAGTCAACTCATCTACTCACTAGTCAACTCATCTACTCACTAGTCAACATATCTACTCACTAGTCAAAAGGTCAACTCATCTACTCACTAGTCAATAGGTCAACTCATCTACTCACTAGTCAACATATCTACTCACTAGTCAACATATCTACTCACTAGTCAACTCATCTACTCACTAGTCAACAGGTCAACTCATCTACTCACTAGTCAACTCATCTACTCACTAGTCAACTCATCAACTCACTAGTCAACATATCTACTCACTGGTCAACATATCTACTCACTAGTCAACTCATCTACTCACTAGTCAAAAGGTCAACTCATCTACTCACTAGTCAACAGGTCAACCCATCTACTCACTAGTCAACAGGTCAACTCATCTACTCACTAGTCAACTCATCTACTCACTAGTCAACATATCTACTCACTAGTCAAAAGGTCAACTCATCTACTCACTAGTCAACAGGTCAACCCATCTACTCACTAGTCAACTAGTCAACTCATCTACTCACTAGTCAACATTTCTACTCACTAGTCAACATATCTACTCACTAGTGAACAGGTCAACTCATCTACTCACTAGTCAACATATCTACTCACTAGTCAAAAGGTCAACTCATCTACTCACTAGTCAACTCATCAACTCACTAGTCAACATATCTACTCACTAGTCAACATATCTACTCACTAGTCAACTCATCTACTCACTAGTCAACAGGTCAACTCATCTACTCACTAGTCAACTCATCTACTCACTAGTCAACTCATCAACTCACTAGTCAACATATCTACTCACTAGTCAACTCATCTACTCACTAGTCAACAGGTCAACTCATCTACTCACTAGTCAACAGGTCAACTCATCTACTCACTAGTCAACTCATCAACTCACTAGTCAACTCATCAACTCACTAGTCAACATATCTACTCACTGGTCAACATATCTACTCACTAGTCAACTCATCTACTCACTAGTCAACAGGTCAACTCATCTACTCACTAGTCAACTCATCTACTCACTAGTCAACTCATCAACTCACTAGTCAACATATCTACTCACTAGTCAACTCATCTACTCACTAGTCAACAGGTCAACTCATCTACTCACTAGTAAACAGGTCAACTCATCTACTCACTAGTCAACTCATCAACTCACTAGTCAACATATCTACTCACTAGTCAACATATCTACTCACTAGTCAACTCATTTACTCACTAGTCAACTCATCTACTCACTAGTCAACAGGTCAACTCATCTACTCACTAGTAAACAGGTCAACTCATCTACTCACTAGTCAACTCATCAACTCACTAGTCAACATATCTACTCACTAGTCAACTCATCTACTCACTAGTCAACAGGTCAACTCATCTACTCACTAGTCAACTCATCAACTCACTAGTCAACATATCTACTCACTAGTCAACATATCTACTCACTAGTCAACTCATTTACTCACTAGTCAACAGGTCAACTCATCTACTCACTAGTCAACTCATCTACTCACTAGTCAACATATCTACTCACTAGTCAAAAGGTCAACTCATCTACTCACTAGTCAATAGGTCAACTCATCTACTCACTAGTCAACTCATCAACTCACTAGTCAACATATCTACTCACTAGTCAACATATCTACTCACTAGTCAACTCATCTACTCACTAGTCAACAGGTCAACTCATCTACTCTCTAGTCAACTCATCTACTCACTAGTCAACTCATCTACTCACTAGTCAACTCATCAACTCACTAGTCAACATATCTACTCACTAGTCAACTCATCTACTCACTAGTCAACAGGTCAACTCATCTACTCACTAGTAAACAGGTCAACTCATCTACTCACTAGTCAACTCATCAACTCACTAGTCAACATATCTACTCACTAGTCAACATATCTACTCACTAGTCAACTCATTTACTCACTAGTCAACAGGTCAACTCATCTACTCACTAGTCAACTCATCTACTCACTAGTCAACTCATCAACTCACTAGTAAACAGGTCAACTCATCTACTCACTAGTCAACTCATCAACTCACTAGTCAACATATCTACTCACTAGTCCACATATCTACTCACTAGTCAACTCATCTACTCACTAGTCAACAGGTCAACTCATCTACTAACTAGTCAACTTATCTACTCACTAGTCAGCAGGTCAACTCATCTACTCACTAGTCAACTTATCTACTCACTAGTAAACAGGTAAACTCATCTACTCACTAGTCAACTCATCTACTCACTAGTCAACAGGTCAACTCATCTACTCACTAGTCAGCTTATCTAATCACTAATCATCATCACTCGCTAGTCAGCAGGCCATTATTAAACACATACCATATCATAAATAATCCTTATTAATTAATATAAAGTGGCCCGGTGTGTGTGTGTGCTGCACCTGTGATGTTCCCCGCTCCCCCAGTAGGCACCAGCACCTCCAGCACAGGAAGTGTGTCTCCTTCAGGAAGTGATGGGGTGAGCTGCAGGTACGCGAACAGGAAGTGAGCCGTCTGAACCATGATCCTGGACCAGTTCACGGAGTTCAGACTCATCAGACGGTGCCGCTGAACCAGATCTGCATCCGCAAACAGCTTCCTCAGAGGAACGTCAATGTCATCAGACGTGCCGTCGGCTGCGGTACATAAAAACAAACACTACAGAGCACTTCAAATGTGTCATCACTGGATTATTTAAAAAACCCATCGCTTGCAAACCTGGGGAACCATCATTATGTTTAAAATGGTTGTGTAGTTTACACGATTATGCATGGTTTAACTCCTCCCCTTCTGTCTGACTTTATTCACTTTAAATCTGTAGAAGCAGAATAACAAGCGCTGTCGTTAGAGCTGGCTGCATTATTCTACTTAGGAAAACTGCTTTTGGTTGAGCTTGTTTATCTTTTGTAAAGATCACCAGCGATCCAGCCCTTGCAGATCTCTGGAGAACACTCACTGTGACCTGAACTATACATCTGTCCCTCAACCACACTACATATCCCATCATGCACCCCAGACACACCAGTTCCTGATCACCACTGATTGCAAACTCACAGCTGAAGTACATCATCATCAGACTACCTGGACTGTATATCACAATTTCGGGTGACACGGTGGTTCAGTGGTTAGCACTGTGACCTCTCAGCACTCAGGTCGCTGGTTTGAGTCTCGGCTGGGTCAGTTGGTGTTTCTGTGTGGAGTTTGCATGTTCTCCTTGTGTTGGCGTGGGTTTCCTCCGGGTGCTCCGGTTTCCCTCACAGTCCAAACACATGCGCTATAGGCGGATTGATGAACTAAATTGGCTGTAAAGTATAAGTGTGTGAATAAGTGTGTATGGGTTTTTCCCAGCACTGGGTTGCAGCTGGAAGGGCATCCGCTGTGTAAAACATATGCTGGAATACTTATCGGTTCATTCCGCAGTATTATCAGTTAATTCCCTGATAAATAAGAGACTAAAGAGACTAAGCCGAAGGAAAATGGATGAATGAAAGAACACCACACTTTCACACACACATTGCTGAGTCTTGTATCCTGTAAGTGATCATTTTCAAGCATTATCCTTGTCTTGCCTTACTGTGGTTTTGACTCTTGTTTTGTTTATTGTTTATGTTGTTTTTATGTTGTTTTGCCGCCTGTCCCGACCAACGACCCAACAGCACAACACACTTAATGAGATCTTTTGATTTTACTGTGTATTAATAAGTGTTGGTATTAGCATGAAGTTTTATGTTAACAAATAGAACGTTACTGTACACCGATTCCAATAGTATTGTTTTCTGCACCTGCAAACACGTGGACGTTTTCCGCTACGCTAGTGGTCATCTGTAGCTCCTGGATTTTAGTGATGCGTCCACGAGGAAAGACCACCACGATGTCCACCTCACGCAAACCCAACACACTCCTGATGGCGGAGCTGCCAGTGTCTCCAGACGTACCTGAGAATAAACACACCTGTGAATCTCCACCACAGCAGATCTGATGCTGAAATCTACACTGATAATAAGTTTTCAGGTGACGTCACAGCTTTATGAGAGCGCCCCCTGGTGGACAAAATACTATCATCAGTCTTCTGTTGACTGCAAAGTGATGGTCTGAGTGATGTTTCGCTTTATTTTTTAGACAAAAAGCCACATAATTATTGAGCAATATTAAGATTTAGCATTACTAACAGGTGAGAGACACACCTGAGCTGTGCTTCAGCAGAATTCCCTCAGAGAAAGATCAGGCAGAAAGCAGAATTGTAAGTATTTGTGCTGAATGTTAGCATCATTGACCCATAATAATCTATATTGCTGTACCTATCAGTGTGTTTGTGTGCTTTTTATACAGTTTCTACTGTAATTTGCAGGTTAATTGCACTTGAAATATTAATTGAGAGTCAACGTCTAAATAGCTGAAGTGAATGAATGTATGGTGCAGCTCTACTTCACACCGACGAGTATTGTGGCGCGCTGGCGATCTCTGCGCAGGAAGTACTGCAGGAAGTGAGCGGTGCAGGACATCGCCAGATCCTTAAACGCCAGCGTTTCTCCATGAAAGAGCTCTAGGATGGACAGCGAGTCCTTCAGCTGGACCAGTCTCACAGCGTCCGGCACCGAGAAGCTGGACAGAGCGCTGGACACCAGACCTACAGAATGCAAGAATAAAGGCTCGTTCACAACAAAGAGGAAAAATATGAGTGACCCCCCATTCACACTGTCATCATACTCATTTACCTGCAATGTGGTGACATTAAGAGCTCGAACTTAATGATCTAAGCACAAAGTCTAAAGCGGAAGGTGCAAAAGAAGCAAGGTTATGTCCGTCTGTTTTAAGGAGGGTAAAAATGGTCTGTGCACCAGGCACATGGTCTAAAATGGTTGTGCTTATTCTCTTAGACCCAATCCTAATTCTATTTTTACCCCAAAATTAGTTTTGTTCCTTGCAGCACAATATTTGACTGAATATTCATTAGTTGTGACATGTTAGGTCTCCTAGTCAATGCTATGAACAGGCAGTCACAGCAGACAGGGAGCATGCGAGAGATAGTGTGTGTGCATGTAAATGACATGGGCATATCTAATAGCTCATATAACACCTCTTTGCAAATCTGTTTGTAACCTCGAGATCACACAGAGGAATTAAGACTCTCAACTTTCACTTGATGCTATGATTACTACTGTGTTTGTGGGAAATGCATTTATTTTGAACAGAGATCAACACTGGCTGGAACTACCAGTGCATTAAACAGTTTTATAGCACACCTTACAGCCAATCAGAATCAAGAAAATCAACAGACCATGTAATAATATAACACTCATATATATTTGTATTCGTGCCAACAAAAGAGAAGAGTGCATATCTGCTTTACTTGTTGCATTACCCCCTTGTGACCAGTAGGAGTCCTCAGTGTTTCTAGCACACCTAACCAGTGAATGCAGCTTGTGTAATCTATCTAATCAAACATACAATTCAGCGATCGCATTCATTCATTTATTTTTGTTTTCGGCTTAGTCCCTTTATTAATCTGGGGTCGCCACAGTGGAATGAACCGCCAACTTATCCAGCACATGTTTTCGCAGTGGATGCCCTTCCAGCTGCAACAATCGCAATCAGTGTAGTGAAATACAAACAAACAGTAAACAGATTTAGTTAATAATCTTGTGTAAATCACCACTTGATTGCGCTCAAACACAAAACGCTATTGTTTTTTGTGCGTTTCACCCTCCAGCTGATCTCTGGGAATCTTTTTCTCTAAGATGATAACGGTACCCACTGTGCCACTGTTTCACCCTGCGCACCAGTTTAACTCGCATCTTTAGTTGGAAAAGTCTTCATCGTGACATGTAGTTATTGTAGGGAACTGCGTTATAAACTGGCCGACCAATCAGCTGTGCCTTAAGGAGCTGAACTTACAGTAAAACACCACTTGATGGCGCTCAAACACACACGCTTCTACTTCGGGATGAATGTTTTATGTGATACCACAATTTTTTGTACCAATTTATTTAGCATCTTTACATGGAAACACAGCGAAAGTCTTTACCGTAACGTTTATAGTGATCGTCAATCTCCATGTTAAAAACTGGCCGACCAATCAAACGTGGTTTAAGCAGTTGAAGTTACACTAAAACTCCATTTGATGGCGCTCAAATACTAAACAATTTAGTGCACCAGTTTAATTCACATCTTTAGATGGAAACACGGCTAAAGGCTTTATTGTAACATGTATAGTTATTGTATAGAACTGCGTTAAAAACTGGCCGACCAATCAGATGTGCTTAAGCAGCTGAAGTTACAGTAAAACACCAGTTGATGGCGCTCAAAACACTCGTTATGTGTGGTGTTTTCCTCACCCTCCAGCTGTTCTCGGGGGATCTCCTGCTCTGGGATGAAGAGTTCGCACACTTCGCACAGCAGCTGCCGGTACGACAGACGTCTCCAGCTACGCAGCGTTTCAGCAGAGAGCGACGGCAGATTCTCCGGCATGAACATTCCTCCGTCTGCGGCGTATCCGGAGAACAGCACATCTCTGAAGCTGCGGCCCTGAACGCCGGCACGGGTGCTGCAATAGCGCATCCTACAGGAACAACACTGCATTACACCCCTTACATCATCTCTGTTATTTCAGTGCAAATATTTAGAATTTTGTACATTTTAGTAATGTTTAATTAACATGACTGCTTGGCCATTACCTGTAAAAAAATATGTTTAGTATTTTTCTGTATAATTTGGAACATTTCTTAGTATTTTTTTTTGTAAACTACATTGATCCTGGTCCATATTCACTAACTTGATCATATTTTGTTCTGTTTATAATCTTAAGTTGTTTGTTTTCCTCAGAATTTACTCCAAACAAATCATTCAATGACTTCTAAAGTGAAAATAAAAGGCCTGTTGTGCAACAAAAATAAACCTGTCTCGTCTGCATCTGCTGTTTTACAGGTTAAAGATGAAGCTAAAGCAGCTTTTACTCCTCTACATTCATATTAATGTATGATTTATGCACTGGTGCATGTGTGATTTTAAAAGTAAGCAATGTTTTTCATGCTACAGATATTCTGTTGTATGATTTATTAGATGTTGTGCAGTCTGTCATACTATAAAACATCAGATTTATTAACATTACCTGCTGACTGCTGGTCTTCTCAATCACCAATGAATCTGATGAACTTTGCCTCAGTGTAGTTCACACCAACACAGGCGGGACTTAGTGAACCGGATGCAATTAAAGAGAATAAAAATCCCTCTGTTTATACTCTTCGCTGTGTATTTTCATAAATCTTTGCTGTCGTTTATCAGAAATCGTTTAAAGTATAACACAAACCGCTGCAGAAACAAAACCGACTCATGCGACTGTCATGTGATGTGCGTTACTTTTCGCAGCGCTGCTGTGAAGAGCCAATCACAACTGTTTCTGATTATTTACATATTTTTACGCAAAATAAGAATCATTCTTCATTAAACACAAACCCTAATACTGTTACAATACCAACAGCATAAAATCATATTTATAATAAAAAAATAACACAATTTTATAGACCTACAAGAGAATATTTACGGCGAGAGTCGAGTAACGTAGATAAATTAAATTTAAATGAGGCAAAATAACACCGAAGCTCGATAGTAGCCTGTGATCAAGTGATGATAACAAGATATTATTAATTTCTTTGAGACAATGATATTTTTATGGTAGCTCATGTTTCTGCAATCCCGGAAAGGACATACGAGATCTTTTATTAAACCTTATTTATATATTTTTTCCCTCAATGTTTTGATTGTCAATACCTTCGGGATATAAACATAAAGATGTGTTTAACTTCCAATTAGACAAACGTTTCCAAACCTTGGATACAAGTAATTCAATTATTATCTTATACAATTGTAATACAATTATTGAAAGTATATGAGTGTGTAAAGATATAATTAAACCAAATGCAGGAGTGTCAATGCAGTGCACATTGAAAATACCAATAAAAGCACATCTTCCTTCAGCTTAGTCCCTTTATTCATCAGGGGTCGCCACAGTGGAGTGAACCGCCAACTATTCCAGCATGTGTTTTACACAGCGGATTCCCTTCCAGCTGCAACCCAGTACTGGGAAACACCCATACACTCTCATTCACACACACTCATACACTACGGCCAGTGTAGTTGATCAGTTCCCCTATAGCGCATGTGTTTGGACTGTGGGGGAAACCGGAGCACCCGGAGGAAACCCACGCCAACACGGGGAGAACATGCAAACTCCACACAGAAACACCAACTGACCCAGCCGACACTCAAACCAGCGACCTTTTTGCTGTGAGGCAACAGTGCTAACCACTGAGTCACCGTGCTGAACGGTCACCTGTTTTTGAGATTAAAAATAAACACATACAAACAAATCTAAATCAATTCCTGTGGTCTTTTTAATTACTTCATAAATCCATAAACAAAATAAATCAGCAGTTAGAAAGGAGTTATTAAAACTAATATGTGTTGAAATAAAGGCG